AATCGAAGGTAAAGGCGCGGAGCCAAAGGCGGGGCATGGAAAGAAGTCCGCCTTGGGGCGGCTACGTATCAGGCGACGCAATGAAAGAATCGGGTTAAAGCGTGCGATTTTGGAGAGTAGAGACAAATCGATCGATAGAATAGGATGCAGTAGAAGTGTGAGATGTGAATGCAATAAGTCAAAAGGCCAGAAAGAGTTTCTAGTGAAGGCACTCCAAGAACCAAGTGGAAGCATTCCCGTCGCCAGCATTTGTGACAGATGTCCGGCGGTACTTTGAACGCGTAGCAGCCCTTTCGGTTTTTCGAATTTTTTACCAAAACAAATGCAATTTTTCTGTTCTCGTGAACGATGGGTCCCAAGCCAGTGAATTATGGGTGAGATAGAATCACGATTTTTCCGAGAAGGATCCCTTTAATTTTGAAGTGTCATGGTTTTCTATGAATGCGCATTCATGAGGCATTGGAAAATTTTCGAAGATTCAAGTAATTTGCTTCCCTATAAGTAATTGAACTTTGTTGAAAAGTCATTTTTTTTTGAAAAATCTCCCGCTCCGTTTTCGGGTACACGCGACTTTCCAACGGTAGGGGAAACCGAGGATGGTTTAGGTTGATGGATGGAGACCGGTGGAGAAGAAGGAGGAGGAAATATGGAATATGGATATAGAGAAGATCACGAGGATGGAAACAAGGCAAACAACCCCACTATATAAGAGTGATCTTTCGGTGGAATAAACTATTCCCCCAGGTGTGTCTACCATCAACCTACCTGGCCGCATCAGGATGAGATCATCGACTTTGTTGATCAATTTGTTCTTCATGCAAATATCGGACTGTGACTGAGAAAAAAATCGAGACTCGTGCATCAGAGTAAGGACGAATTTCGATCTGCAAAACACCCACTCCAAAAGTCGGTCCGTTAGAAATTTTTTTTCAAGGCATACTGGTCCTTCCGGAGAACCACACGCGTCATTAGGATTTCAATGATTCACAGGTAGATTTGCATATTTTTTCAAAATTGATGTTATTGGCACGAAGCGAAGAACACAGGCGGACGGACAGGAGAACGCAAAGAAAGAAAATCGTAAATGCGCTAAACACTGGCTTGTAGAAGTCGAAGTTCAAAGAACTCGACGTAATATGGTGATCCTTTCCTCAATTTTTTAGCTGATATCCTCTCCTTGAATGTGAGTTCTGGAAGTGTTGATGGTGATACCTTCTGAATAATTCTTATTTTTAGGAATTAGTGAGATCTAAACTGAGCAATTATGGTGCGATTCTCTTCCCCATTCATTGATGGGAAGGGGGCGGAAGTGGTGCAGTGACAAGTGGCGCGCTCACCACGCGAGCGGTCCGGGATCAAATCCTGGGTCGTGAGTCGCCCGGGCCAACCAAGCCTTCCATCCCTCCGGGGTCGGTTAATTGGTACCAGACTTGTCTGGGAGGATAAAAAACACTGACCTTGAACATCGGCCTCGGCCCTCTGTGTAGCCACGATGCATTCAAGATGCACTGCGAAGTCGTACAATGGAAGTACGACTATGCGTGCCGCATCCGCAACGAACGGAGAAGCTTGAGATCAGCAGGCAAATGCATCTTCCTTTATTCCTTTTATTCATTGAAGCATTCCCTTCACTTAACGAAAGGCTTGGTTCGTAAAAAAAATAGCAAGCTGGTATTTTTTTTTTCGTGTATGTGCTAGTTTTAAACATTTAAACGATCACAGCATCTTTGAAACTTATTATTTTGGAAAGCTGAAGCTAGCACGGCAAACTTCAAAATTTAAGCTTTCCAAGTAATACCGTACCTTACTGAATAAATAGAGATTCGGAAAATAGCCCGTTTTGAGCTTTTCTGTTGGTTTGGAGTACTACTTTTTGAAAGCGCGAGTTCTCAAACTAAACGAACAACTTTCTTCAAATTAGTTATTTTGTAAAGCGGAAGCCAGCGTGATAAACTACAACATTCAAGCTTTCTAAGTTCTGGTGAGACCAATTCGTGAAATAAGCAATCCGGAATTTTTCCGCTGGACTTTTTTGGAGGGGTGTTTTATTAGCCTTCTCTCAAACTATCCTTCACACTATTGCAATTTCTCGCATTTCGTTTACTCTAAAAACATTGAAATTCCTCTAAAATGATTTTTGTCGCTGTCTTGAAGCGCTATGCTTCAAAAATCTGGGCCACCACGCTTGCGCCGTGCTTCTTACTCGCTGCTGCACTCATTCCTATGTCGATATCAACTCGATTTTCATTGCTACTCACTGCGCACGACCTTTTTCCCACATCATGGGCAAAGTACAGTCCCCTCGTTGGTACCTGTACCAAACTGACCCAGCAGACAAGTCTGCAGCGTGTCGACCGGTTCTTCCCGTTCATCCTAGTGAGTCCTCGCTTGGAGGTGTCCATGAAGCGTTCGGCTGGTCCATGGCTGCGTGGAGTAAGCGATGAAAAGCGCA